ATTATGTTGATTGCGGTGGATTTGGGCATACCCCATTTTTGGACGCCCATTGTGTTTTGTTCGGCTGTTCGCTCATCCCATTTGTTTTTTGTTGCAAGAACTTGCAGTATCCGTGGAAAACCGCAGCCATTTCTTTTGGCTCTTAGAAATGATCGAAATATGGACTCGAACGGTCAAAATATCAGTGGGGACTTAGTTGTTGAAGGTCTGTCAAAGATGTTGTTTCGATGTTCCATTTTCTTCGTTTTGTGCTGTTTGTGCCCCCAATGGATCAATGGTCATGGCTTTGTCGAACCAAGGCCGAGCATGACGAAGCTGCCATCATTCAGCGGAATGTTTCCCGGAGGCCACCCATGGCATGTCAACATCCTGATGAAAAACATCAGATGAGGTTTTGAATTTCATGGATGTTACCGACATCAAGTATCCATGATATCCGTGATATATTGATGAATTTTGATAAGATCTGGAGAGAAATTACAGATATCAACCTATTTGGATTCCGAGATCTTTGCAGATGTCAGAGATCTTCCATGGATCTCCAGGATATCCACTGCCAGGGAAGAAAGCACCGGTCACCACCGAGACCTGTTGGGAACTCAGTGGTGAAACCAGGTTTCAACCAGCACTTTCCACATGAATTTGTCTGGGAAATTACGATTAAAACATGTAAAAACCCAAATCTGATGGTCAATCATGTTTTTTCCCCTAATAGATTGCTATTCAGAAGGTATCTCCTATTTCCAGACAGCTGAATGGTTGATGATTTATGAACTGTTTCACAATGTTTCACAATGTTTCACAATGTTTCACATGTTTCATGGGGGGTTCTTTGATTTGGATGGTTTTTTGGCGGTGAAACTGAGAAGTCACTAAGTCTGAGAAGACTGCCCCTGGATCTCAAAGCCTCACCAAAGCTTACCGACCGGTCATGGCCTCAGAGTGAAAAAAATGGGCAAAATGAGGAAATCAATGGTGAGCTGGAACATCCCACCAAATGATGATATAATGATAAATGAAGGTTTTAAAGGGAAGATCAAACTAAATGGCCGATTTTCGAGACCATGTTTAAGGGTTTTTTTTGCAGTTCTGAGTACATGAACAAAATATAACATTTTGGGGATATATCCATGGTATATCGGTGGTGCCAGGAGATCCACAGCCATGTGGCTTAGAGAACGGTGACATCGATCTCCGTTTCCCATGTTTTCCCGACTTGGTGAGGTCATAAGAGACGTGCTGCAGGAGACTTCGTCTGAAATTCAGAAAAAGATGACCTGAAATTCAGACATCTTTTTGTGTCAGTTGAAACATCTTGGAACATCTTGGAAGATCTTTGTTTACCACGTTGTTTTTTTTTCACGTGTGTTCTACTTTCATAGCCGTCGTCGCAGGAAGCCACGGGGCACAGCCCTGGGACTCCAGAGAGTATGTGGGGCAAACCCTGCAGGTCCGGTCTTGGTAGGTTCTGGTCGTGGTACTTTGGAATGTTGCCATATGTTGCCATGAGGTGACCAGATTAATGAATTTGATGAAAGTTTAGTTGTTGAAGCCTTGTTTAATGTTTGAAGTGTAACTAGTGTAACTCGGATTGGGAAGGCAAAACATAGATGTCGCAATAGGCCATGCTTCCAAGAAGCAGTTCGCAACCATGGGCGAGTCGACTTGATGCAGAAGAAGGACTGGCATAACTTGGGATTTAATGGCATTTAACCATCTAAAATGATGACAATAATGCTATATCACCAAGATTAGTTAGTAGGTATAGTAGGTGGTGGCTGCAAACAGATGAGTTTTTTCGAGTAAAATGGGATGATGATCCCCAATGACTGTCCTGTTTTTCAGGGTTGAAAGCATCATGCAGAGTATTCTCGAAGTTTCCCCATCATGCAGAGTATTCAGCCATAGTTCCATTTTAAGTTTCAATTTAAATTGCCATAGTTCAGCAATAGTTTCATTTTTCTAATTTAAGTTTAAATTGCCATAGTTCATCCATAGTCCAGCCATAGTTCCAAGCTCTTCTTTTTTAACTAAAAAAGTGAGCTTGGGGCACTCCTATTTTGAGACATTCCCATATTTAATTTAATCTCAAGACTTGGACATAATATTGCAAACAATGTGCAAAAAAATAATACTTAAGAAATAAGTATGTTTTTTGTTTATAATTAATTACCCCTTAGCATTATATAAGCAAGTTAAATAATAAAACAAATAATTAAACAAGTTCCTCCATGTTTGTATATCTTTATGAAAACGTGTCTTTTCAGACTTTATCGACTGGATCCTTAGCGAACTGTCTTTTCAGATTTGATCCTTTTCAGGATGTGCCTTGCTCCACAATTGAGGCAGCACACGCAAGACGCCTTTCCCCTCCGGATTCCATGTCCACAGCTGGACTATGGCTGAACTCTTGCTAGTTCGATCTAAACTATAACCAGTCTGAACTACAGCTAGTTCAGTCCGAACTATATTCATTTAGAACTATAGCTAGTTCAATCTGAATTCCAGTAATTTTCCTTTTGGTTTGGGATTTTTAATGGCGACCTTTTTCTTTGTTTTTGGGACCCTTTTTGGGCGCAAAAAGGTCGCCCTTCTTAACCCCTTGCGCGGTGCCAAACCAACGGGAAAATTACCATTATAGCCAGTTTGAACTATAGCTGGTTAGTCTGAACTATGGCTCGTTCAATCTACACCATAGCTGTTACAATCAGAACCATAGCTGGTTTCATTTAATCTATAGTTTTGTAAATCTATCATATTTAAAAACTGAAATTCTATACAAAACAACCACTAAACCACACCATATTCATGACAAAATATAGAAATACAAAATACTAAGTCGAAAAGCTGCTAAACTTTAGAAAAAGTAAAGCTATTATAACTTCAATATGATTGAGCTAATCTTGCTTATAATTTATAATAGAAGGAAAAATGAGAAAAACATCTTCAACATATATGTACGATATCAACAACATAGTTTCCTCCATGTTTGGAATTGAAATGACCCTCGCTTTTTCGAAATTGAGTAATAAGAAAGAAATCCAGCTGAGAAAAAAACAATGCCCCTTGCAGCAGCTTTACTGGAAACCATAACCTTTCCGAGGAAGCATCTTTGCAATCTTTTTTCCAAGCAACATTACTACAGCTATCTAAACATACAGCACAAATTCATTTTTTGTCACAACCGTGTGGTCTTAGTAACTTGTTTGATAACTTTCTATAACTTATGATAACTTTTCCTAAGTACTTATGTTAAGTCTGTTAACATATTTATGAAAAGATAACATATAAATAAGATACTTCCGATAAGTTTGTTAAGAATTTATAAATTTTACCTAGACATTTGCAACTTCACGTAGCCGGCTAGCTGAAGTTATAACTACTTGTCAAAAGCTATGAAACTTTACATACTTGCAAGCAGGTTATAGAGACACTATAGAGGGTTTATAAACACGTTATAAATTATAACTCACATAAATTTGTAAACGCACCGATGAGAATCTCCAGTCATATCCAACAGAATTCCAACTGATATTGACATCCTGACACTACCAGAGGGTAATGCCGTGCGCCAGGTATCCGACCGCTTCAGAAAGGCCTTGGGTAGACATCGGCCTTGGAAGACGTGTCGAACTCAGATTGCCACGGGAAACAGATTCCATGTCACAGGTGGATGTAGAAAATCAATCAAAATCACAATGTGGGTGGAACCATAACCCGCCAGTTTTTGGGGATAAACCATGGATTAACAAAAGTTGACTGGCAGTGATTGTAACAGTTGTTGATGCCTTGACTTTGACATAGCATCGGTAGAAACCAGCATTGCATGACATGTTTCTGCAAGATTTGACCTGGAAGATCTTCCTCTTGACATTGCATTGGCATTTTAGTTGGCGATAGGATCTATAGGTCTACCTATATATTCCTATAGTATCCTATAGTGTGGGTCACATGCTCAGTGCTGTGTGTTATATGTTCTTAAAACCAATGCAACACACAAAAATTCAGCCGTGGAAGAACAGAAGAGACATGGTTTATCGTTATGGATTGATCCTGCTTAAAATAAGCTTAAATGCCGTGGAATCCAGTGAATGAGCTGTTTCCAGATGATGTTTGCAACCGACATAGTGAGTTTGTGCTACCGTCATTGTTTCCAATCAAGTCTCCCATTCGAGCCTCATATTTTGCAAGGGGTTGAAGAATGTCAAGATATGACTGGGTCGTGAACGGATTTAATTCCAGTGAAACAGAAACGTATAACTCAGTCTCTTGCAACTTGAGGCATCCCAGTGCGATGTCAAACTTTCAGCAAGGACCCCAGGACCTCTTTGCAGAAGTGGAGCTAGCAGAAGCGATGTAAGTCTTCTCACTGTTTCGTTCCAGATTTCGTGTTCTCACGGCTCAGTTTTGTCCAGCAACTTCGTTGCAAATGCCTTCTCTGTACCTTGAGATCCGTTTTTTCCTTGGTGACATGTCAGTCTTAGTTCAGCCCCGAACCAACCAAAGCTCCAAGGCATCTCTTCCCCGGCTGATGGATTGTGGGCAGGAAGTGGAAACTGCTGCAGCTCGCTGCAAGGCGGGGGGTGCCTTGCCAGAGAAGTGAGAGACCCAAGTTTTTGTTGAAATCTTTGTCTTGCAGTCCCCGCTTTTTGGGACTAAACAAAACATCGCGACACCGATGTGTCAATATTCCATTCACCTTCCTTTATTGAACCGCTTCCTTGAAGTGAGCTTGATGTGAGTTTGTTTCATCTGTTTGACCGTCTAAACCTTGCAACTTGACTTGATCTTGTGTGAAAACACCCTTCCATGGTTGAAACATGTTGAAATGTTGTTTTGGGCTGAGTTTTTAGTGACCGCCATAAGCGCGGAACTCCATTTTGGTTATGGGCTGCAGCTGCAGCAAAAACGCTGCGTTGGAGCCGCGCCGTCCTGGGCTGCCAAGATTGTTGGGTGCTGTGCCGAAACACAGCGAACCATCAGACCCCAAAGGAAAGAAGGATGTTGAGAAGGCTCAGAAAGCAGAGAGAGCTGTGGAAGTTTCGTGCCATGCCTCTGCAGGTGCGAAGTGGCATTTGGAGCTGCTGGCTGTGAGCGCCGAACTGAAAGAAAAGCTGCAAGATCCTCAATTCGTGGCGACCCGCTGCGACTTGGATGGGTCTGGCGATCTCGATGCACACGAGCTGAAGCAGGCGGCTCGGGTCTATGGCATCTCGCAGAGTGGCAGCTCCGAAAACCACGGCATCAATCCTCGTCTCATGGCTGGGCAACGCGTCAGCAAAGAAAGCTTCGCTGAAATGGTGGCCTCTCAAGGAAGCACCAAGCTGATCAGAGCCTTTGATTCAAACACGGTCAAAGTTTTGCTAGGTGGAACATGTCCCCAAAATGCATTGACAATATTGACATGCATCTCAATGTTGGCCCAATTTCGATCGGCGATGTGTTAGACGCTTCTTTTTTATTTTTTAATTTTTGTTCAGCGGTTGTTTTCTGGATCCACTTCCGAATCAGCATGAATCTACAGCAACGCAAAGCATGAGGACATGCATGGGGGTTCGGAATGTTTGGACATGTTGGTACCCATGAAGCATGACTTTGCAGGCATTTCCAGGTCGTTTGATACATGTTGACGCACCGGAATCTGATGGAATCTGTAGAACGATGAACGTTGCACAAATTACTTGGTCCAGAATTTGAAACCAATCTGAATCCAAACACTTGGCAACACATCTTCGCTGAGTCAGGAGCAGTCCCGCACTCCTTGCGTGGAATGGCATTGGGCCAGCTTCAACATCTTGAAGCCTTGTTCATCAGAACCGGATGGCTCTCTGCGCGATGTGAATCCTTCAACGCAAAGAATGCCCGTGCCATTGCCAAAGGCACGAAGTTCAGACAAGATACTGTACCAATCTTTATGCCTTGGATACCTTTGTGGTGACTCCAATGTCGAAGCCAGGCATGTGCGGAGCCCGTGAACATGATGAGCAGCAGACCATTGCCGAAGCACGCGGAATTTCATCCTTTTCACAACTGGTGAATCCATTCGGCCTGTTTGTTCACTGCTTTGTCTCCCATTTTTGGGGACACAACTTCACCAGCACTGTCACGGCTCTTGACTTGTGGGCAGATTCGAACTACGACAAGCTGACCTCGGAGAAGGAGGCCTTGGTCTACTGGATATGCCTCTTTGCGTTGAACCAGCACGACGTGGCGGAGGAGGTGGGGGAAAATCCTCAGCAGGGGCCATTCAACGCAGCACTGGCGCAAGCCACTGGTGGTGCAGTGATGGTTTTGGATGAAGAAGTGAAACCATTTTATGTCATGGCGCTCAGCGCGAACCTGGAACCTCCAGGCCTGTGGTGTTTACTTTGGCGCCTCGCCAAAGATGATGTGATCCAGGATATTGCAGACGAGGGCTGCTACAGTTTTGGTTGGCGGCTGCTGCAGACGTGGCAGTCGCAACTCGCCATACGGCGGGAGTTCTGTGGAGCTGAGCGCTTGGCCCAGCTTGTGGCAGGTGAGCTCGGTTCTTGCTATTGGATGATGAGGCGCTTCCATGGCATGGCACGCTGCGTGCACTTGACGGCTGCTCTTCTTCAGGCCGTCTACCGCAGCTGCCTCTTTGCCTCGGTTGAGCACATCTTTCACTGGCTACCAGTGGTTCACTTCAATGCGTGATGGGCGAGGGCCCGTCACCGAATTGAGTGCAGATGGTGCTAGACCATCCGTTAATGTACCCACGCCTTGAAGAGAGGCAACTTCTGCTGTGGCGGAAGTATGGTTTGGCGAGCATGTGGTCACCACATCGTTCTCTACGATTGGCTGGCGACTCTTGAGGCAGCATTTTGCTGCCAAGGTTTTTGTCTTCCACCCACGCTGGAAGTTGTATTGTACAGGATTGCGAGCTTTGTCTCAAGCTACCCTCCAGGAGTGGGGGTGGCCCCCAGCGCCTATGGCGCCCGAAAGCTGCCTCCAGCCACTCACCTCGGTGGGCCCAGGCTGTGGCAGCGTTACAAATGCCCAACAACAACAACAGTGAAACCATTCTCGAGAATCTGGTGCCTCTTCGAGGCTTCTCGGTTGAAGGACTTGCAGCGTCCCTTTGAACTGATTTGCAGTGAGGGTTCCTTGTCCCAGCCTGAGAACGGTGGACGAAAGGCTGTGAGCGCCAAGATGCTCGAAACCACATGCCAGGCCTTGTGGAACGTGTCCACTGCCAAGGCTGAAAGCTCAATAGCCAAGGACAAGTACCAGATTTGGGGAGAAACGGCCAACGAATCCTTCAGGAGTACCATAAAGGGAGTGGGTGCCGAACTCTGGTTCAAGGAAAAGGGTGCCAATGTGTTGGCGATGATCTTCAGCGACTTTGATTTCTACATGAAGTCTCTACTCTCCACTACGGTGCTGAAGGTCCTGATGGCTAGGGGCGACTTTGCTTCGGCGGCCACGTGCTGCCTTCAAGGAGCAGATGTTAGTTCTGAGCAGCTGGCAGAGATTTGCAGCAGTTTTGCAGCAGAAACTGAGAGAAGAGCATGGTTGAACATCATGCTGCGGCAGGCATCCGATGCATCCATGGCCAAGTTGCTTTTGGATCACGGTGCCGATGTGGCGGCAGCAAGCAACGAGGGTTCCACAGCACTGATTTGTGCTGCTCAAGGTGGCCATGAGGCCGTTGCCAAGTTGCTGCTACAGCACGGTGCCGATGCGGCGGCAGCAAGCAACGATGGTTTCACAGCATTGATGTTGGCTGCTCTAGGTGGCCATGAGGCCGTGGCCCAGCTGCTGCTACAGCACGGTGCCGATGTGGCGGCAGCAATGGACGTTGGTGCCACAGCCCTGATGTCTGCTGCTCGAGGTGGCCATGTGGCCGTGGCCCAGCTGTTGCTACAGCACGGTGCCGATGTAGCGGCAGCAACGAACAATGGTTTCACAGTACTGATGTGTGCTGCTGAAGGTGGCCATGAGGCCGTTGCCAAGGTGCTGCTACAGCACGGTGCCGATGTGGCGGCAGCAGGTAACGATGGTTCCACAGCATTGATGTTGGCTGCTCAAGGTGGCCATGAGGCCGTGGCCCAGCTGTTGCTACAGCACGGTGCCGATGTGGCGGCAGCAAGTAACAATGGTTCCACAGCATTGATGTCGGCTGCTCGAGGTGGCCATGAGGCCGTGGCCCAGCTGTTGCTACAGCACGGTGCCGATGTGGCGGCAGCAAGTAACAATGGTGTCACAGCATTGATGTTGGCTGCTCGAGGTGGCCATGAGGCCGTGGCCCAGCTGTTGCTACAGCACGGTGCCGATGTGGCGGCAGCAGGTAACAATGGTGTCACAGCACTGATGTTGGCTGCTCACGGTGGCAATGAGGCCGTGGCCCAGCTGTTGCTACAGCACGGTGCCGATGTGGCGGCAGCAAGTAACAATGGTGTCACAGCACTGATGTCGGCTGCTCGAGGTGGCCATGAGGCCGTGGCCCAGCTGTTGCTACAGCACGGTGCCGATGTGGCGGCAGCAAAGAACGATGGCGACACAGCATTGATGTTGGCTGCTCTAGGTGGCCATGAGGCCGTGGCCCAGCTGTTGCTACAGCACGGTGCCGATGTGGCGGCAGCAAGCAACCGTGGCACCACAGCACTGATGTGTGCTGCTGCAGATGGCCATGAGGCCGTGGCTCAGCTGCTGCTACAGCACGGTGCCGATGTGGCGGCAGCAAGCAACGATGGTGGCACAGCATTGATGTTGGCTGCTGCAGGAGGCCATGTGGCCGTGGCCCAGCTGTTGCTACGGCACGGTGCCGATGTAAGGGCAGCATTACGCGATGGCAGGACAGCACTGATGATTGCTAGGGCAAACCGTCATGAGGCTGTGGCTAGGCTCCTGTGGTGATTCGAATTGGTTTCGGCGTTGGCTTTTTGGATAGCTGCTGCGGGCATCCAATTTATCCATATCGTAGAGAAAAGGATGCTGTGCAACGAGTGTGCTGCAAACTTGCGTGATGGAAGTTGGGAAGTCCTGATGAGTTCGTTTGTTTTAGGCAGGATCCAGGTTTGTGATGATTTGTGCATAGTGAGAGTCCGGTTGGTCAAAAGCTTTGCATGATCAAAGATCTCCAGATCGTTCACAAACTGAATCAATTTGTGGAAGCTTTGGTGAATCCGTAGCTTGCTTTGCCCAGGCTGCGCGAACCGTGGAAAACGAGGTACTTCATGCAATCGCAGGCAGTGAGCGTTTTTATGTTGTTGGCTGTTGTTATTTTTAATGATCCCTGATTTTTGTTCAGATTTCTGGGGAGGCGGGATACAAAGCATTTCCGCTGATTAAGCAGAATTTCGAGAACTTGACTCAGAACTTTGCTTGTCAAAATCCAAGTTCCTTTTTGGCTAGCTCCGCCTCGCTGGGAAAAAGAATAGTGGCTTGCAGCAAGGTGCCCAGAGGTGGAATAGGCTGCGGTTGGTTTGTTGGTCCAAAAATGGGCTGAACACCTGCACATGTTTTGGCCATGCTTATCTGATCGCATTTTTTTCAATCATCAAGTTTAACAGCCAGCACTTGTGATATGCCCCAAACTCTTTCGGGATTGTCGTAACTTTCATTTTTGGTGACATTACAGTACTTTGCGGCCTTCCGCTATGTTGGGATGTTATAACTTGATGGCTCTTGGTTCAATCATCAAATTTCAAGGGGGTCCAAGGTTGAGACCATGCCAAAGTCACACATCTCATGGCCAGAGATGGACATTCAGAGGAAACATCCGCTTTGACCCATGAAGTCATGAGTTGAAACATGCCGATCGTCAACCGGCATCGGGCCACCTGGGGATGTGAGCAACGCTCTTGGGATCTTTTCGGGAGGAACAAAAGGAACATCGACAACTGATGGATGTACCGAGACAATTCCACCAACAAACACCAACTGATCACTCGGAGACAAGCAGAGGCTACACTTACCCACACTGATGCATGAACTGATTCAAGATGTCATCACTGTTCACCAGGCTCCAAATCTAAAACGACATTCCCCAAATATGTTTCCAACAACCGGCGTTGCGAGGCTGAACCGGAGCCTTGAGGAGTGGCCAAGGTCAGAGAGATTGATATCTGATGGGAGTATGAAAATGGATTCAGTTCGGAGTACCGGATACTTAGCATCTCCAGTACTAAGCCATCCAATGACTTGGGGTTTTGTATTGACTCAAGAAACACTCGTGTGTCAAAACATGTCAAAACATGTCAAAAGATGTCACTTTTCGAAGTGGTCTGCGATGTCTCTTCTATAATTGTAATCTTTGGTCCTGCGCCAAATTTAGAGGTTTGGTCAGCATTTTGGGATGGGAGGACCTATGCATCTCTTTACAGCATGTCACATTGCCATACCACCAGCCACTTGAGATCGCAAAGCTTGGTGTTGCATGAGCATTTGGGGGTCTTCCGGCGGGGAGGCATTGGTGCTGCGGCACACTTTGAAAGTTCGGAGGCTCGGTTGATGTGGATTGTTAGTAAGCAGATTTTACCTTCTTATCATTTGGTCGTGCAGGGATCGAACGGATCTAATCCCAGTGAAACATAACTAAAACTCCGTTTCTTGCAACTTCAGGAAGAAAGTCATTTGATGATGTTCCTCCTGCATGGCCCGGCCCAGTGCAATCATTGTATTCTATGTCTTTATACTTCACAAGCACTTTGCACATACCTGTGCTTTGGGTGTTTCGGATCCCTTGCATCACAAGGTCCTTGAAGCTCATTGCCCGACAGTGAAGATGCTGTGCTGAACTCAGATTACCACTGGAAACAGATATAGAAAATCGCAATGTTGTGTGGTTGAAAAGCCATCAAAGGGAACCACGACCCAGCAGTTTGTTGGAATAAACCATGGATTAACAAAAGTTGACAGGCAGTGATTGTAACAATTGTTGATGCCTTGACTTTGACATAGCATCGGTAGAAAGCATTGATTGCATGACATGTTTCTGCAAGATTTGACCTGGAAGATGTTCCTCTTGACATTGCATTGGCATTTTGGCTATATGTCAGTATGTCGACCTATATATTACTATCGTATCCTATAGTGTGGGTTGTATGCTCAGTACTGTTTGATATGCTCTTAAAACCAATGCGACGCACCAAAATTCAGCCTTGGAACAGAAGAGACATGGTTTATCGTTATGGATTGATCCTGTTTAAACCAAGCTTAAAGCCGTGGAATCCAGTGAATGAGCTGTTTCCAGATGATGTTTGCAACCGACATGGTGAAATTGTGCTACCGTCATTGTTTCCAATCAAGTCTCCCATTCGAGTCTCATATTTTGCAAAGGGTTGAAAGATGTCAAAATATGACTGGGTCGTGAACGGATTATTTGTTAGTCCCAGTGAAACATATACATATAACTCAGTCTCTTGCAACTTGAGGCATCCCAGTGCGATGTCAAACTTTCAGCAAGGACCCCAGGACCTCTTTGCAGAAGTGGAGCCAGCAGAAGCGATGAAAGTTTTCTGACTGTTTCGTTCCGCATTTTGTTTTCTCTACACAGCTCAGTTTTGTCCAACAAGTTCGTTGCAAATGCCTTCTCTGTACCTTGAGATGCGTTTTTTCCTAGACATGTCAGTCTTAGCTCAGCCCCGAACCGAAGCTCCAAGGCATCTCTTCCCCGGCTGATGGATGGTGGGCAGTTGGAAGTGGAAACTGCTGCAGCTCTCTGCAAGGCTGGGGGTGCCTTGCCAGAGAAGGGAGAGACCCAAGTTTCTTTTGACATCTTTGCCTTGAAGTCCCAGTTTTTTGGGACTAAACAAAACATCGCGGCACCGATATGTCAACATTCCCTTCACCGTCCTTTCTTCAAGCTTTGCAACTGGACTTGACCGTTTGCCACATGTGAAAACACCTTTCCATGGGTGAAACATGTTGAAATGTTGTTTTGGGCTGAGCAGTTTTTAGTGACCGCCATAAGCGCGGAACTCGATTCGGTGATGGGCTGCAGCTGCAGCAAAAACGCTGCGTTGGAGCCGGGCCGTCCTGGGCTGCCAACATTGTTGGTGGCTGTGCCAAAACACAGCGAACCATCAGACCGCAAAGAAGAGAAGGCTCAGGAGAATGCTCAGAAAGCAGAGAGAGTTGACGATGTTGAAGTTTCGTGCCATGCCTCTGCAGGTGCGAAGTGGCATTTGGAGCTGCTGGCTGTGAGTGCCGAGCTGAAAGAAAAGCTGCAAGATCCTCAGTTCGTGGCGACCCGCTGCGACTTGGATGGCTCTGGTGATCTCGATGCACACGAGCTGAAGCAGGCGGCTCGGGTCTATGGCATCTCGCAGAGCAGCTCCGAAAACCACGGCACCAATCCTCGTCTCATGGCTGGGCAACGCATCAGCAAAGAAAGCTTCGCTGAAATGGTGGCCTCTCAACGAAGCACCAAGCTGATCAGAGCCTTTGATTCAAACACGATCAAAGTTTTGCTAGGAACATGTCCGCCAAATGCATTGACAATATTGACATGCAGACATGCATCTCAATTTTGGCCCAATTTCGATCGGCGATTTGTTAAACGCTTCTTTTTTATTTTTTTAATTTTTGTTCAGCGGTTGTTTTCTGGATCCACTTCCGAATCAGCATGAATCTACAGCAACGCAAAGCATGAAGACATGCATGGGGGTTCGGAATGTTTGGACATGTTGGTACCCATGAAGCATGACTTCGCAGGCATTTCCAGGTCGTTTGATACACGTTGACGCACCGGAATCTGTAGAGCGATGAACATTGCACAAATTATTTAGTCCGGAATTTGAAACCAATCTGAATCCAAACACTTGGCAGCACATCTTTTCCGATGAGTCAGGAACAGTCCCGCACTCCTTGCGTGGAATGGCATTGGGCCAGCTTCAACATCTTGAAGCCTTGTTCATCACAACTGGGTGGCTATCTACGCGATGTGAATCCTTCAACGCAGAGAATGCCCATGCCATTGCCAATCGCACGAAGTTCAGACAAGATACCAATCTTTATGCCTTGGACACCTTTGTGGTGACTCCAATGTCGAAGCCAGGCACGTGCGGAGCCCGTGAGCATGATGAGCAGCAGACCATTGCCGAAGCACATGGAATTTCATCCTTTTCAGAACTGGTGAACCCATTCGGCCTCTTTGTTCACTGCTTTGTCTCCCATTTTTGGGGACACAACTTCACAAGCACTGTCACGGCTCTTGATTTGTGGGCAGATGCGAACTACGACAAGATGGCCTCAGAGAAGGAGGCCCTGGTCTACTGGATATGCCTCTTTGCGTTGAACCAGCACGACGTGGCCGAGGAGGTGGGGGAAAATCCTCAGCAGGGGCCATTCAACGCAGCACTGGCGCAAGCCACTGGTGGTGCAGTGATGGTTTTGGATGAAGAAGTGAAACCATTTTCTCGCATCTGGTGCCTCTTCGAGGCTTCTCGGTTGAAGGACTTGCAGCGGCCCTTTGAACTGATTTGCAGTGAGGGTTCCTTGTCCCAGCCTGAGAACGGTGGACACAAGGCTGTGAGCACAAAGATGCTGGAAACCACATGCCAGGCCTTGTGGAACATGTCAGCTGCCAAGGCTCAAAGCTCAGTAGCCACGGACAAGTACCAGATTTGGGAAGAAACGGCCAACCAATCCTTCAGGGGTGCCATAAAGGGATTGGGTGCCGAACTCTATTTCAAAGGTTACATAGAGCAAAATGGGGCCGATGCGTTGGCAGAGGTCTTCAGCAACTTTGATCGCTACATGAAGTCTCTACTCTCCACTACGGTGCTTCAGGTCCTGATGGCTAGGGGCGACTATGCATCGGCGGCCACGTGCTGCCTTCAAGGAGCAGATGTTAGTTCTGAGCAGCTGGTAAAGATTTGCAGCAGTTATGCTGCAGAAACTGAGAGAAGAGCATGGTTGAACAGCATGCTGCTGCAGGCATCGAATCCATCCATGGCCAAGCTGCTTTTGAAGAAGGGTGCTGACGCGAGGGCAGCCAGGCACGATGGTGACACAGCGCTGATGCGTGCTGCCGGAGATGGCCGTGAGGCCGTGGCCCAGCTGTTGCTACAGCACGGTGCCGATGTGGCGGCAGCAAGCAACAATGGCTCCACAGCACTGATGTCGGCTGCTCATGGTGGTCATGAGGCCGTGGCCCAGCTGTTGCTACAGCACGGTGCCGATGTGAAGGCAGCACGGGACGATGGTGCCACAGCACTGATGTGTGCTGCTATAGGTGGCCATGAGGCCGTGGCCAAGGTGCTGCTACAGCACGGTGCCGATGTGGCGGCAGCAAGCAACCGTGGCACCACTGCCCTGATGTGTGCTGCTGCAGGTGGCCATGAGGCCGTGGCCCAGCTGCTGCTACGGCACGGTGCCGATGTAAGGGCAGCATTACGCGATGGCAGGACAGCACTAAGGATTGCTAGGGCAAACCGTCATGAGGCTGTGGCTAGGCTCCTCAGGGAGCATGGTGGTAATTCGAATTGGTTTCGGCGTTGGTTTTTTCGATAGCCGCTGCGGGCATCCAATTTATCGTAGAGCGCAGAGAAAACGATGCTGTGCAACGAGTGTGCTGCAAACTTGCGTGATGGAAGCTGTTGGGAAGTCCTGATGAGTTCGTTTGTTTTTGTTTTTAGACAGAATCCAGGTTTGTGATGATTTGTGCATAGTGAGAGTCCCGTTGGTCAAAAGCTTTGCATGACCAAAGATTTCCAGATCTTTCACAAACTGATTCAATTTGTGGAAGCTTTGGTGAATCCGTAGCTTTCTTTGCCCAGGCTGATGCGCGAACCGTGGAAAACGAGGTTCTTCATGCAATCGCAGACAGTGAGCGTTGCTTGGGCGCATGGTATGGTGTCATCTTTATGTCGCTGGTTGTTGTTATTTTTAATGATCCCTGATTCTTGTTCAGATTATTTCTGGGGAGGCGGGATACAAAGCATTTCCGCAGATTAAGCAGAATTTCGAGAACTTGACTCAACTTTGCTTGTCAAAATCCAAGTTCCTTTTTGGCTAGCTCCGCCTCGCTGGGAAAAGGAATAGCGACCTGCAGCAAGGTGCCCAGAGGTGGAATAGGCTGCGGTTGGTTTGAAGCATGGGTTTGTTGATCCAAAAATGGGCCACACCTGTACATGTTTTGGCCATGCTTCATCGATTTTTGATCGCATTTTTTCAATCATCAAGTTTAACAGCCAGCACTTGTGATATGCCCCAAACTCTTTCGGATGATTGTCGGAACCCTCATTTTTGGTGACATTACAGTACTTCGCGGCCTTCCGCTATGTTGGGATGTTATAACTTTGATGGCTCTGGGTTCAATCAAATTTCAAGGGGAACCCGAGGTTGAGACCATGCCAAAATCACACATCTCATGGCCAGAAATGGACATTCAGAGGAAACATCAGCTTTGACCCATGAAGTCATGAGTTGAAACACGTCGATCGTCAATCCAACCGGCAACAGAGGCTACACTTACCCAAACACCAAACACCAACAGATCACTCGGAGACAAGCAGAGGCTACACTTAGTCACACTGATGCATGAACTGATTCAAGATGTCATCACTGTTCACCATCTTCGCTCCAAATCTCAAACCACACTCCCCAAACATGTTTCCAACATCCGGCGTTGCGAGGCTGAACTGGAGCCTTGAGGAGTGGCCAAGGTCGGCGCTATGTGAGAAGGAAGAAGTGATACCTGATGGGAATTTGAAAATCAACGAAGTTCGGAGTACCAGATTCTTTGTATCTCCAGTACTAAACCATCTATATAATGACTTGGGGCTTTGCATTGATTTGAGCAACACCCATATGTCAAAACATGTCAAAACTTATCACTTGTTGAAGTGGTCTGCGATGTAACTGTAATCTTTTGTCCCGCGCCAAATTTAGAGGTTTTTCGTCAGCATTTTGGGATGGAAGGACCTATGCAACTCTCTCCGGTATGTCACATTGCCATACCATCCACTTGAGATCGCAAAGCTTGGCGTTGAGCATTCGGGGGTCTTCCGGCGGGGAGGCATTGGTGCTGCGGAACGCTCTGAAAGCCCAGAGGCTCGGTTGATGTGGATTGTTTGTTTTGATGGTCAGTACGCGGACTTTACCTCCTTTTCACTGGGTTGTGACCGGATGGAACAGATCTAATCCCAGTGAAAACCACCAGAAGCGATGTAAGTTTTCTGACTGTTTCGTTCCAGATTTTGTGTTCTCACAGCTCAGTTTTGTCCAACAAATTCGTTGCAAATGCCTTCTCTGTACCTTGATCCGTTTTTTTCCAGCCCCGAACCAACAGAAGCTCCAAGGCATCTCACAAGTTGGAGGGTTGCTTGGAAGCTTCCCTTGCTTTCCACGAAGCTTACAATCGGTTGCAACGGTTTTACAAGATCCGAGTGGGATTTACACATCTTTTTCAACCATTCTCGAGCGCAAAGATGTCGAAAACAAGTTGCTGACTGAAACTCAGTGTTTTTCAATACAAACGAGGAAGATCCAGTGCTGAACGCAAATCTCAATAGATCTCAGGAAGTGTTTTGAGTGGAAACAATGCAACATAGCGTTGCATGGCGTTGCACATGTTGATGCCATTGATGCATGTCTTGTTCTTTGTAGCATGGACACATATGGAACACATTGCGACCAGGTGATGAAGACCGGCGCCTTCAGTGGTGCAAAAAGTTTGGCAAAGTTTCAGTGCAGAAAACTCGGGCGTGTCTCAAAATGGGACATACTATACCTTTTTTAAAAAATGAAGGGGAAATATGACATAATTATGATGATTGCGGTGGATTTTGGGCCCCATTTTTGGACATACCCATTGTGTTTTGTTAGATTTGTTCAGCTGTTTGCTCATCCCATTCGTTTTTTGCTGCAAGAACTTGCAGTCATATCCGTGGAAAAGCGCAGCCATTTCTTTTGGCTAGAAATGATCGAAATTTGGACTTGAACGGCCAAAATATCAGTTGGGACTTAGTTGATCTGTCAAACATGTTGTTTCGATGTTCTATTCTCTTCGTTTTGTGCTGTTTGTGCCCGCAATGGGTCAATGGTCATGGCTTTGTCGAACCAAGGCCGAGCCGAAGCTACCATCATTCCTCGGAATGTTTCCCGGAGGCCACCCATGGCATGTCATCCTGATGAAAAACATCAGGTGGTGAATTTCATGGATGTTACCCACATCAAGTGTCCATGATATCCATGTTATCCATGATATCCATGAGATCCTGATGTTTCATTGAACTTTCAAAAGATCTGAGAAATTACAGATATTCAACCTATTTGGATTGATTTTTGCACATGCCAGAGATCTTCCATGGATCTCCAGGATATCCACTGCCAGGGAAGAAAAGCACAGGCACAGGGAAAGCCACGACTGCACCGGCCCCCGGCCACCACCGAGACCTGTTTGGAACTCAGTGGTCAAACCAGGTTAGACCAGCACTTTCCACATGAATTTGTCTGGAAAAATTACGGTTAAAACATGTAAAAGTCCAAATCTGATGGTCAATATGTTTTTGATGGTCAATATGTTTTTTTCCCTAATAGATCGCTATTTAGAAGGTATCCCCAGTTTCCATACACAGCTGAATGGTTGATGATTTATGAACTGTTTCGGAATGTTTCACATGTTTCATGGGGGTTCTTTTGTTTAGATGTTTTTTTGGCGAAACCGTGAAACCACTAAGTCTGAGAAGATTGCCACTGGATCACAAAACCTCACCAAAGCTTATACCGACCGGTCATGGCCTCAGTGAAAAAATGGCTTCAAAAATGGGAAAATCAAAGGTGAGCTGAAAAATCCCACCAAATGAAGGTTTTAAAGGGAAGATCATCAAGCTAAATAGCGGATTTTCCAGCAAACCATGTTTACCAAAGGGTCAATCGTTCTTTTTGGCAGTTCTGAGTGGAACGAAATATGGGATTTGGTGCTGCCAGGAGATCCACAGCCATGTGCCTGGCTTAGAGAACTGCAGCGGTGACATCGATCTCCGTTTCCCATGTTTTCCCGACTTGGTGAGGTCATAAGAGACGTGCAGGAGACTTCGTCTGAAATCTGAAAAAGATGACCTGAAATTCAGACATCTTTTTGTGACAGTTGAAACATCTTGAAACATCTTGGAAGATCTTTGTTTACCACGTTGCTTTTTTCACGTGTGTTCTACTTTCATAGCCGTCGTCGCAGGAAGCCACGCGGCACAGCCCTGGGACCCCAGCGAGTGGGGCAAACCCTGCAGGTCTGGTCCTGGTAGGTTCTGGTCGTGGTACTTTGGAATGTTGCCATATGTTGCCATGAGGTGACCAGATTAATGAAATTGATGGAAAGTTTAGTTGTTGAAGTTTTGTTTAATGTTTGAAGTGTAACTAGTGTAACTCGGATTGGGAAGCCAAAACATAGATGTTGCAATAGGCCATGCTTCCAGGAAGCAGTTCGCAACCATGGGCGAGTCGACTTGATGCAGAAGAAGGACTGGCATAACTTGGGATTTAATGGCACTTTAACCAAAATGATGACAATAATGGTGCATCACAAGATTAATTAATTAGTAGGTGGTGGTTGCAAACAGATGAGTTTTTTCAAGTAAAATGGGATCATGATCCCCAATGACTATCCTGCTTTTCAGGGTTGAAAGCATCATGCAGAGCATTCTCGAAGTTTCCCAGTATCTTCACCAACTTGGGCCAGTAAAGAATGAGACATAATGAGTATGACCAGTATGACCATAGCAGGGCACGTGGTCTGGGCTTAGCTCTTGGATTCTTGATGAACTATGATGAACTATGATGAACTCTGGAGTTCCAATCGCGTTCCTTTCCGTATCCAGCGCAGAACGGCGAGAAGATTGCGGTGAAAAGAATGCGGACCAGGCGCCTGAGATTCCGAACAGTGGCTGTCACCACATCGAATCACATCGACATATCGACATATCGACATATCGACATATCGACATATCGACATATCGACATATCGACATATCGACATATCGACATATCGACATGGCATGTCTCAAGGACTTCTTTCCTTTGCCAAGAACTACAGTATCATATATGATGCGATTTCTTTTCAGAAATGTTCCAATTCAGGAACTTTCACATTTGATGTGATGAAATGTTTTCAGATTTGTCATTTTCAGGAATCATCATATTTGATGCGATTTCTTTTCAGTAATTTTCCTCTTCAGGAACTTTCACATTTGATGTGATTCTTGTTCAGAAATTGTCCTTTTCAGGAACTTTCACATTTCATGTATTTTTTTTCAGATTTGTTCTGTTTCAGGAAGAATCGCATTTGACATGATTTTCTTTTCCTTTCCAGGGGACTTTCTTTTTTCTGGGCTGGATTTCTTTCTAATTACTTAATTTCGAAAAAGCAAGGACCATTTCAATTTCAAACATGGGGAGGAAACTATGTTGTTGATATCGCACATGTACGTTATATATATACATATTAATATGTAGATATGTTTTTTTCGTTCACTCAATTTTTCCTATATTGCATATTTAAACAATATTAGTAATATTAGCTCAATCATATTGAAGTTATAACAGCTTGACTTTTTCAAAATTGTAAGATTTGTTCTATTTAGTATTTTTTCACCCTAAATTTGGTGTGGTTTAGTGATTATATATATATATATATTCAGTTTCTACATATACTTGAAAAGACAAATAATTTAAATGAAACCAGCTATGGTTCTGTGTAGATTGAAAGAACCGGAGTTCAGACTGAACTAGCTATAGTTCAAACTGGCTATAGTTCAGATCGAACTGGCAATAGTTCAAGCAGGACTAGCTATAGTTCAATCTAACGTAGCTATAGTTTAGCCATCATTTTTCCTTGAAATAAAACGGCTTTAATTCAGCCATAGTTCAGCCATAGATCAGCCATAGTTCAGCCATAGTTCAGCCATAGATCAGCCATAGTTCAGCCATAGTTCAGCCATAGTTCAGCCATAGTTCAGCCATAGTTCAGCCATAGATCAGCCATAGTTCAGCCATAGTTCAGCCATAGTTCAGCCATAGTTCAGCCATAGATCAGCCATAGTTCAGCCATAGTTCAGCCATAGTTCAGCCATAGTTCAGCCATAGTTCAGCCATAGATCAGCCATAGTTCAGCCATAGTTCAGCCATAGTTCAGCCATAGTTCAGCCATAGTTCAGCCATAGATCAGCCATAGTTCAGCCATAGTTCAGCCATAGTTCAGCCATAGTTCAGCCATAGATCAGCCATAGTTCAGCCATAGTTCAGCCATAGTTCAGCCATAGTTCAGCCATAGTTCAGCCATAGATCAGCCATAGTTCAGCCATAGTTCAGCCATAGTTCAGCCATAGTTCAGCCATAGTTCCATTTTAAATTCAAATTTAACTTGCAATAGTTTAGGCATAGTTCAGCCATGGTTCCATTTTAAATTTAGATTTAACTTGCAATAGTTCAGGCATGTCAAAATCCAAGTTCCTTTTTGGCTAGCTCCGCCTCGCTGAGAAATAGACTCCCGATTTTTGTTCAGACTATTTGTTGGGCGCGTCAACCAGCATTTCGAGAACTTGACTCAGGACTGTGCTTGTCAAACTTCCATGTTTTTTTTGGTTAGCTCCGCCCTGGGAAAAAACAAGACATGTTCGGTCCGGAAATTTTCAGCTTCAACTTGAGCTCCTTGGACCCACAGTTCACCTTCCAGGTGAGTTGCGTGCCCAGCCGTGGAATAGGCAGTCGGTTTGGAACATGGGGTTGTTGGTCGAAAACTGGGCCGTGGAACAGCTGCATGTTATGGCCATTTGGTGTCTTCATCGGTTTTTGACCACATTTTTCAATCAACAAATTTAGAGTCCAAGTTTCAGACAAAGCCAAAATCACACATCTCATGGCCAGAGATGGACATTCACGGGAAACATCAGCTTTGACCCATGAAGTCATGAGTTGAAACATTTTGATGATCAATCCAACCGGCATCGGGCCACTTGGGGATGTGAGCAACGCTCTTGGGATCTTTGCGGGAGGAACAAGAGGAACATCGACAAACATGGATGCACCGGGACAATTCCACCACCAAACACCAACAGATCACTTCGAGAAAAACAGAGGCTACCAACACCTTACCCACACTGATGCATGAACTGATTCAAGATGTCATCACTGTTCACCATCTTGGCTCAAAATCTTAAACCACACTCCCCAAACATGTTTCCAACATCCGGCGTTGCGAGGCTGAACTGGAGCCTTGAGGAGTGGCCAAGGTCGGCGCGATGTGAGTAGGAAGAGTTGATGTCTGAACCGGTGTCTGATGGGAATATGAAAATGGATTAAGTTCGGGGTACCGGATACTTAGCATCTCTGGTACTAAACCATCCAATGACCTGGGATTTTTGCATTGACTCAAGAAACACTCGTATGTCAAAACATGTCAAAAGATGTCACTTGTCGAAGTGGTCTGCGATGTCTTCTAATGGTAATCTTTCATCCAGTGCCAAACTTAGAGGTTTTTGGTCAGCATTTTGGGATGGAAGGACCTATGCAACTCTTTACGGCATGTCACATTGCCATACCACCGACTTGAGATCGTAGAGCTTGGCATTGGGCATTCGGGCGGCAGACCGCGGGGAGGCATTGGTGCTGCGGCAGATTTGCAGAATCGGAGGCTCGGTTGATGTGGATTGACTGCAGCTGATGGTCAGTAAGCGGACTTTACCTTCTTATCATTGGGTCGTGAACGGATTGAACGGATCGAATCCCAGCGAAACATAACTCCTAAATCCGTTTCTTGCAACTTCATGAAGAAAGTCATTTGATGTTCCTCCTGCATGGCCCGGCCCAGTGCCATCATTGTATTCTATGTCTTTATACTTCAAGTCCTTTGCACATACCTGTGCTATGGGTGTTTCGGATCCCTTGCATCACAAGGCCCTTGAAGCTCATTGCGCGACAGTGAAGACGCTGTGTTGAACTCGGATTGCCACGGGAAACAGATGCCATGTGACAGGTGGATGTAGAAAATCAATCAAAATCACAATGTGGTTGGAACCATGATCCACCAATATCCACCAGTTTGTTAGAATAAACCATGGGTCCGCAAAAGTTGACAGGCAGTGATTGTAACAATTGCTGATGCCTTGACTTTGACATACCATCGGTAGAAACCAGCATTGCATGACATGTTTCTGCAAGATTTGACCTGGAAGATATTCCTCTCACTTGACTGACATTGCATTGGCATTTTGGCTATAGGTCGACCTATATATTACTTTCGTATCCTACAGTGTGGGTCACATGCTCAGTACTGTGTGATATGCTCTTAGAACCAATGCGACGCACCAAAATTCAGCCTTGGAAGAACAGAAGAGACATGGTTTATCGTTTTGGATTGATCCTGCTTAAAATAAGCTTAAAGTCATGGAATCCAGTGAATGAGCTGTTTCTAGATGATGTTTGCAACCGACACGGTGAGTTTGTGCTACCGTCATTGTTTCCAATCAAGTCTCCCATTCGAGCCTCATATTTTGCAAAGGGTTGAAGAATGTCAAGATATGACTGCGTCGTGAACGGATTTAATCCCAGTGAAACATAAGTAGAACTCAGTCTCTTGCAACTTGAGGCATCAGAGTGCAATGCCAACTTTCAGCAAGGACCCCAGGACCTCTTTGCAGAAGCGGAGCCAGCAGAAGCGATGTAAGTCTTCTGACTGTTTCGTTCCAGATTTCGTGTTCTCACAGCTCAGTTTTGTCCAACAAGTTCGTTCTTGCAAATCCCTTCTCTGTACCTTGAGATCCGATTTTTCCTTGACATCTCAGAATTAGTTCAGCCCCGAACCGAAGCTCCAAGGCATCTCTTCCCCGGCTGATGGTGGGCAGGAAGTGAAACTGCTGCAGCTCGCTGCAAGGCGATGCCTTGCCAGAGAAGCGAGAGACCCAAGTTTCTGTCGACATCTTTGTCTTGAAGTCCCAGTTTTTTGGGACTAAACAAAACATCGCGGCATCGATATGTCAATATTCCATTCACCGTCCTTTTTGGAACCGCTTCCTTGAAGTGAGCTTGATGTGCGTTTGTTTCATCATGTTTCATCTGTTTGACCCTTCAAGCCTTGCAACTTGACTTGATCGTTTGCATGTGAAAACAGCCTTCCATGGGTGAAACATGTTGAAACGTTGCTTTGGGCTAAGCAGTTTTTAGTGACCGCCATAAGCGCGGAACTCCATTTTGGTGATGGGCTGCAGCTGCAGCAAAAACGATGCGTTGGAGCCGCGCCGTCCTGGGCTGCCAACATTGTTGGGTGCTGTGCCGAAACACAGCGAAGCATCAGACCCCAAAGGAGAGAAGGATGCTGAGAAGGCTCAGAAGGCTCAGAAAGCAGAGAGAGTTGACGATGTTGAAGTTTCGTGCCATGCCTCTGCAGGTGCGAAGTGGCATTTGGAGCTGCTGGCTGTGAGCGCCGAACTGAAAGAAAAGCTGCAAGATCCTCAGTTCGTGGCGACCCGCTGCGACTTGGATGGCTCTGGTGATCTCGATGCACACGAGCTGAAGCAGGCGGCCAAGGTCTATGGCATCTCGCAGAGCAGCTCCGAAAACCACGGCACCAATCCTCGTCTCATGGCTGGGCAACGCGTCAGCAAAGAAAGCTTCGCTGAAATGGTGGCCTCTCAACGAAGCACCAAGCTGATCAGAGCCTTTGATTCAAACACGGTCAAAGTTTTGCTAGGAACATGTCCGCCAAATGCATTGACATGCATTTCATTACGTCTCAATTTTGGCCCAATTTCGATCGGCGATTTGTTAAACGCTTCTTTTTTATATTTTAAATGTTGTTCAGCGGTTGTTTTCTGGATCCATTTCTGAATCAGCATGAATCTACAGCGACGCAAAGCATGAAGACATGAATGGGGGCTCGGAATGTTTGGACATGTTGGTACCCATGAAGCATGACTTTGCAGGCATTTCCAGGTCGTTTGATACATGTTGACGCACCGGAATCTGAACAGTGTAGAAATTACTTGGTTCGAAAGCTGGAACCAATCTGAATCCAAACACTTGGCAGCACATCTTCGCTGAGTCAGGAGCAGTCCCGCACTCTTTGCGTGGAATGGCATTGGGCCAGCTTCAACATCTTGAAGCCGTGTTCGTCAGAACTGGATGGCTCTCTGCACGATGTGAATCCTTCAACGCAGAGAATGCCCGTGCCATTGCCAATCGCACGAAGTTCAGACAAGATACCAATCTTTATGCCTTGGACACCTTTGTGGTGACTCCAATGTCGAAGCCAGGCATGTGCGGAGCCCGTGAACACGATGAGCAGCAGACCATTGCCGAAGCGCGCGGAATTTCATCGTTTTCACAACTGGTGAATCCATTCGGCCTTTTTGTTCACTGCTTTGTCTCCCATTTTTGGGGGCACGGCTTCACCAGCACTGTCACGGCTCTTGACTTGTGGGCAAATTCGAACTACGACAAGCTGACCTCGGAGAAGGAGGCCTTGGTCTTTTGGATATGCCTCTTCGCGTTGAACCAGCACGATGTGGCGGAGGAGGTGGGGGAAAATCCTCAGCAGGGGCCATTCAACGCAGCACTGGCGCAAGCCACTGGTGGTGCAGTGATGGTTTTGGATGAAGAAGTGAAACCGTTTTCGCGAATCTGGTGCCTCTTCGAGGCTTCTCGGTTGAAGCAGTTGCAGCGTCCCTTTGAACTGATATGCAGTGAGGGTTCCTTGTCCCAGCCTGAGAACGGTGGACACAAGGCTGTGAGCACGAAGATGCTGGAAACAACATGCCAGGCCTTGTGGAACGTGTCCACTGCCGAGGCTGAAAGCTCAGTTGCCAAGGACAAGTACCAGATTTGGGAAGAAACGGCCAACGAATCCATCAGGGGTGCCATAAAGGGAGTGGGTGCCGAACTTTGGTTCGATGCTTTGATAGCAGCCGATGCGCATGGGGCCTATAAGTTGGGGGCCAGTGAGTTGGCAGAGGCCTTCAGCGACTTTGATCGCTACATGAAGTCTCTACTCTCCACTACGGTGCTTAGGGTCCTGATGGCTAGAGGGGACTTTGCTTCGGCGGCCACGTGCTGCCTTCAAGGAGCAGATGTTAGTTCTGAGCAGCTGGCAGAGATTTGCAGCAGTTTTGCTGCAGCAACTCAGAGAAGAGCCTGGTTGAACAGGATGCTGCTGCAAGCATCGAATCCATCCATCGCCAAGCTGCTTTTGGAGAAGGGTGCTGACGCGAGGGCAGCAGACGACGATGTCACAGCACTGATGTCGGCTGCTCAAGGTGGCCATGAGGCCGTGGCCCAGCTGCTGCTGCAGCACGCTGCTGATGTGAGGGCAGCAGAAGAGGATGGCACCACAGCACTGATGTTGGCTGCTCAAGGTGGTCACGAGGCCGTGGCCCAGCTGTTGCTACAGCACTGTGCCGATGTGGCGGCAGCAACCAACGATGGCAGGACAGCATTGATGTATGCTGCTCGAGGTGGTCATGAGGCCGTGGCCCAGCTGTTGCTACAGCATGGTGCCGATGTAAGGGCAGCATTACGCGATGGTGCCACAGCATTGATGTGGGCTGCTGTAGGTGGCCATGTGGCCGTGGCCCGGATGTTGCTGCAGCACGGTGCCGATGTGGCGGCAGCAATGAACAATGGTTTCACAGCACTGATGTTTGCTAGGGCAAACCGTCATGAGGCTGTGGCTAGGCTCCTCAGGGAGCATGGTGGTGATCAGAATTGGTTTCGGCGTTGGCTTTTTGGATAGCCGCTGCGGGCATCCAATTTATCGTAGAGCGCAGAGAAAACGATGCTGCGCAACGAGTGTGCTGCCAACTTGCGTGATGGAAGTTGGGAAGTCCTGATGAGTTCGTTTGTTTTAGGCAGGATCCAGGATTGTGATGACTTGCGAGGTCCAAAGCTTTGCATGATCAAAGATCTTCAAGCAGTTTTTCACAAACTCAATCGATCCGTGAATGTCGACTGACATTCGTACCTTGTTGCCCAGGCTGAAGCGCAAAGCGTGGAGGACTAGGTCACGCAATCGCAGACGGTGGGCGTCGCTTGGGCTTTATGCTGTCATCTTTGTGTTGCTGGTTATATCTGGTTATTGTTGGCTTTAATGATTCCCGATGTTTGTTCAGACTATTTGTTGGGCGCATCAACCAGCATTTCGAGAACTTGACTCAGGACTGTGCTTGTCAAACTTCCAGGTTTTTTTTGTTAGCTCCGCCCTCGGAAAAAACAAGACATGTTCGGTCCGGAAATTTTCAACTTCAACTTGAGCTCCTTGGACCCACAGTTCACCTTCCAGGTGAGTTGCGTGCCCAGCCGTGGAATAGGCAGTCGGTTTGGAACGGGGTTGTTGGTCGAAAACTGGGCCGTGGAACACCTGCATGTTATGGCCGTTTGATGTCTTCATCGGTTTTTGACCACATTTTTCAATCATCAAATTTTGTGTCCAAGTTTCAGACCATGCCAAAATCACACATCTCATGGCCAGAGATGAACATTCACGGGAAGCACCATTAGCTTTGACCCATGAAGTCATGAGTTGAAACATTTCGATCGTCAATCCAACCGGCATCGGGTCACCTGGGGATGTGAGCAACGCTCTTGGGATCTTTTCGGGAGGAACAAGAGGAACATCGACAAACATGGATGTACCGAGACAATTCCACCAACCAACAGATCACTCGGAGACAAGCAGAGGCTACACTTAGTCACACTGATGCATGAGCTGATTCAAGATGTCATCAACTGTTCACCATCCAATGACCTGGGGGTTTTGCATTGACTCAAGAAACACTCGTATGTCAAAACATGTCAAGAGATGTCACTTGTCGAAGTGGTCAGTGATGCCTTCTAACTGTGATCTTTTGTCCAGCACCAAAATCAAAGTTTTTTGGTCAGCATTTTGGGATGGAAGGACCTATGCAACTCTTTACAGCATTTTGCATCGCCATACCATCCGCTTGAGATCGTAGAGCTTGGCGTTGCATGAGCATTCGGGCGGCAGACCGCGGGGAGGCATTGGTGCTGCGGCAGATTTGCAAAATCGGAGGCTCGGTTGATGTGGATTGTTTGGCTGATAGTCAGTATGCCGATTTTACCTCCTTATCACTGGGTCGTGAACGGATTTAATCCCAGTGAAACATAAATAGAACTCAGTCTCTTGCAACTTCAGGCATCCCAGTGCGATGTCAAACTTTCAGCAAGGACCCCAGGACCTCTTTGCAGAAGTGGAGCCAGCAGAAGCGATGTAAGTCTTCTGACTGTTTCGCTCTGCATTTCGTGTTCTCACAGCTCCGTTTTGTCTGCAAACTTCTTCAACCATTCTCGAGCGCAAAGATGTCGAAAACAAGCTGCTGACTGAAACTCATTTTTTTCAATACGAACGACGAAGATCCAGTGCTGAACGCAAATCTCAATAGATCCCAGGAAGTGTTTTGAGTGGAAACAATGCAACATAGCGTTGCATGGCGTTGCATGGCGTTGCATGGCGTTGCATGGCGTTGCATGGCGTTGCATGGCGTTGCACATGTTGATGGAATTGATGCATGTCTTGTTCTTTGTAGCATGGACACACATGGAACACATTGCGACCAGGTGATGAAGACCGGCGCCTTCAGTGTTGCAAAAAGTTTGGCAGAGTTTCAGTGCAGAAAACTCGGGCGTGTCTCAAAATGGGGCATACTTTTTTTTCGAAATGAAGGGGAAATATGATGTTGGGCATACCCCATTTTTGGACATACCCATTGTGTTTTGTTAGATTTGTTCGGCAGCTGTTTGCTCATCCCATGCGTTTTTTGTTGCAAGAACTTGCAGTATCCGTGGAAAACCGCAGCCATTTCTTTTGGCTAGAAATGATCGAAATTTGGACTTGAACGGCCAAAATATCAGTTGGGACTTAGTTGATCTGTCAAAGATGTTGTTTCTTTCTTCTATTTTGTTCGTTTTGTGCTGCCATGGGCCAATGGTCATGGCTTTGTCAAACCAAGGCCGAGACGAAGCTACCATCATTCCTCGGAATGTTTCCCGGAGGCCACCCATGGCATGTCATCCTGAAAAACATCAGGTGGTGAATTTCATGGATGTTACCCACATCAAGTATCACTGAATATCCATGATATACTGGTATTGATGATATCCTGATGTTTCGTTGATGAATTTTGATAAGATCTGGAGAAAAATTACAGAAATCGACATATTTGGATTCCGAGATTTTTGGATGTCAGAGATCTTCCATGGATCTCCAGGATATCCACTGCCAGGGAAGAAAAGCACCGGCACCACGGGGAAAGCCACGACTGCACCGGCCCCCGGCCACCGAGACCTGTTTGGAACTCGGTCAAACCAGGTTTCAACCAGCACTTTCCACATGAATTTGTCTGGAAAATTACTGTTAAAACATGTAAAAACCCAAATCTGATGGTTAATACATTTCTTTCCCTAGATTGCTATTTAGAAGGTATCCCCAGTTTCCAGACAGCTGAATGGTTGATGATTGATGAACTGTTTCACAATGTTTCACAATGTTTCACATGTTTCATGGGGGTTCTTTGATTTGGATGGTTTAGTGGTGAAACCGTGAAACCACTAAGTCTGAGAAGACTGCCCCTGGATCACAAAGCCTCACCAAAGCTTACCGACCGGTGATAGCCTCAGTGAAAAAATGGCTCCAAAAATGGGGAAATCAAAGGTGAGCTGGAAAATCCCACCAAATGAAGGTTAAAGGGAAGATCAAACTAAATGGCGGATTTTCGAGACCATCTTTACCAAAGGGTCAATCGTTTTTTTTTGGCAGTTCTGAGTCAAAATATGGGATTTGGTGGCCAGGAGATCCACAGCAGCCATGTGCCTGGCTTAGAGAACGGTGACATCGATCTTCGTTTCCCATGGATTTTCCATTTCTTGGTGAGGTCATAAGAGACGTGCAGGAGACTTCGTCTGAAATTCAGAAAAAGATGACCTGAAATTCAGACATCTTTTTGTGTCAGTTGAAACATCTTGGAAGATCTTTGTTTACCACGTTGTTTTTTTCCCGTGTGTTCTACTTTCATAGCCGTCGTCGCAGGAAGCCACGCGTCACAGCCCTGGGACCCCAGCGAGTATGTGGGGCAAACCCTGCAGGTCCGGTCCTGGTAGGTTCTGGTCGTGGTACTTTGGAATCTTTGGAATGTTGCCATATGTTGCCATGAAGTGAGCAGATTAAACATGAAATTGATGGAAAGTTTAGTTGTTGAAGTCTTGTTTAATGTTTGAAGTGTAACTAGTGTAACTCGGATTGGGAAGCCAAAACATAGATGTTGCAATAGGCCATGCTTCCAGGAAGCAGTTCGCAACCATGGGCGAGTCCACTTGATGCAGAAGAAGGGCTGACATAACCTGGGGTTTAATGGCATTTAACCAAAATGATGACAATAATGCTATATCACCAAGATAAACCAAGATTAATGGGATGATGGTGGTGGTTGCAAACAGATGAGTTTTTTCAAGTAAAATGGGAGGATGATCCCCAATGACTGTCCTGCTTTTCAGGGTTGAAAGCATCATGCAGAGTATTCTCGAAGTTTCCCCATCATGCAGAGTATTCAGCCATAGTTCCATTTTAAGTTTTAATTTAAATTGCCATAGTTCAGCAATAGTTTCATTTTTCTAATGTAAGTTTAAATTGCCATAGCTCATCCATAGTCCAGCCATAGTTCCAAGCCCTTCCTTTTTAACTAAGAAAGTGAGCTTGGGGCACTCCTATTTTGAGACATTCCCATATTTAATTTAATCTCAAGACTTGGACACAATATTGCAAACAATGTGCAAAAAAAATAATACTGAAGAAATAAGCATGTCTTTTTGTTTATAATTAATTACTCCTTAGCATTATATAAGCAAGTTAAATAATAAAAACAAATGATTAAAACAAGTTCCTCCATGTTTGTATATCTTTATGAAAAAGTGTCTTTTCAGACTTTATCCCTTTCAGGAACTGCCTTTAGCGACTGGATCCTTTTCAGGAACTATCTTTTCAGATTTGATCCTTTTCAGGATGTGCCTTGCCAGACTTGATCCGTTTCAGAAACTTTCGTGTCACATTTGTTTTTTTGACTGAAAATTTTGCCCAGCATTCATTTTACTCTGTCCAAACAAATCCACAGAGGCAGCACACGCAAGACGCCTTTCCCCTCCGGATTCCATGTCCACAGCTGGACTATGGCTGAACTATAGCTACGTTAGTTTGCACTATAGCTAGTTCAGCTTGAACTCTTGCTAGTTCGATCTAAACTATAACCAGTCTGAACTATAGCTAGTTCAGTTTGAACTATAGCTAGTTCATTTAGAACTATAGCTAGTTCAATCTGAATTCTAGCCTAGTAATTGTCCTCTTGGTTTGGGATTCTTAATGGCGACCTTTTTCTTTGTTTTTGGGACCCTTTTTGGGCGCAAAAAGGTCGCCCTTCTTAACCCCTTTCGCGGTGCCAAACCAACGGGAAAATTACCATTATAGCCAGTTTGAACTACAGCTGGTTAGTCTGAACTATGGCTCGTTCAATCTACATTGAGCTAATCTTGTCTATAATTTTTAATAGAAGGAAAATTGGGAAAAACATCTTTAACATATATGTACGATATCAACAACATAGTTTCCTCCATGTTTGGAATTGAAATGACCCTCGCTTTTTCGAATTTGAGTCATAAGAAAGAAATCCAGCTGAGAAAAAAACAATGCCCCTTGCAGCAGCTTTTCTGGAAACCACAACCTTTCCGAGAAAGCATCTTTGCAAAATTCTTTTTCCAAGCAACATTACTACAGCTACCTTTAAACTTACAGCACAAATTCAATTTTTGTCACAACCGTGTGGTCTTAGTAACTTTTTTGATAACTTTCTATAACTTTTGATAACCTTTCTTAAGTACTCTTATCTTAAGTCTGTTAACATAGCTATGAAAAGATAACATATAAGATACTTCCGATAAGTTCGTTAAGAGCTTATATTTTACCTAAACATTTACAACTTCACGTAGCCGGCTAGCTGAAGTTATAATTTACTTGTCAAAAGTAATGAAACTTTTCATGCTTGCAAGCAGGTTATAGAGACGTTATAGAGGGTTTATAAACACGTTATAAGTTATAAGTTATAACTCATATAAATTTGTAAACTCACACTTTAAGCGCACAGTCTCCGTTGAATTCAACGAGCAGTGCCCTTTGTTTGATTTGCGTCCCGTCCGGAAAGACAGCATGGCCAACCTCTGGCGAGCGCCGGGAAATCTTCGGAAATCCATCGAAATCCCTGGGAAATGGGGAAATGGGAGAATCAATGAGAATCACCAATCAGAATCACCAACAGAATTCCAACAGAATTCCAACAGAATTCCAACAGATATTGACAGCCTGACACTACCAGAGGGTAATGCGGTGCGCCAGGTATCCAACCGCGGCCTTGGGTAGACATCAGCCTTGGAAGACGTTGCTTCGAACTCAGATTGCCACGGGAAACAGATGCCATGTCACAGGTGGATGTAGAAAATCAATCAAAATCACAATGTGGTTGGAACCATGATCCACCAATATCCACCAGTTTATGCGGATAAACCATGGGTCCGCAAAAGTTGACAGGCAGTGATTGTAACAATTGTTGATGCCTTGACTTCGACATACCATCGGTAGAAACCAGCATTGCATGACATGTTTCTGCAAGATTTGACCTGGAAGATCTTCCTCTTGACATTGCATTGGCATTTTGGCTATAGGTCGACCTATTTACTATAGTATCCTATAGTGTGGGTCACATGCTCAGTACTGTGTGAATCTGTGTGATATGTTCTTAAAACCAATGCGACGCACAAAGATTCAGCCTTGGAAGAACAGAAGAGACATGGTTTATCGTTATGTTGGATTGATCCTGCTTAAAACAAGCTTAAAGCCGTAGAATCCAGTGAATGAGCTGTTTCCAGATGATGTTTGCAACCGACATAGTGAGTTTGTGCTACCGTCATTGTTTCCAATCAAGTCTCCCATTCGAGCCTCATATTTTGCAAGGGGTTAAAGAATGATGAAGAATGTCAAGATATGACTGGGTCGTGAACGGATTATTTTTTAGTCCCAGTGAAACATAAGTAGAACTCGGTCTCTTGCAACTTGAGGCATCCCAGTGCGATGTTAAACTTTCAGCAAGGACCCCAAGACCTCTTTGCAGAAGTGGAGCCAGCAGAAGCGATGTAAATCTTCTCTCTGTTTCGTTCCAGATTTTGTTTTCTCTACACAGCTCAGTTTTGTCCAGCAACTTCATTGCAAATCCCTTCTCTGTACCTTGAGATCCGTTTTTTCCTTGACATGTCAGTCTTGGTTCAGCAGTTCAGCCCCCCAACCGAAGCTCCAAGGCATTTCTTCCCCGGCTGATGGTGGGCAGGAAGTGGAAACTGCAGCTCGCTGCAAGGCTGGGGGTGCCTTGCCAGAGAAGGGAGAGACCCAAGTTTCTGTTGAAATCTGCATCTTGAAGTCCCAGTTTTTGGGACTAAATAAAACATCGCGGCATCGATATGTCAATATTCCATTCACCGTCCTTTATTGAACCGCTTCCTTGAAGTGAGCTTGATGTGCGTTTGTTTCATCTGTTTGACCGTCTAAACCTTGCAACTTGACTTGATCTTGTGTGAAAACACCCTTCCATGAGTGAAATATGTTGAAATGTTGTTTTGGGCTAAGCAGTTTTTAGTGACCGCCATAAGAGCGGAACTCCATTTTGGTGATGGGCTGCAGCTGCAGCAAAAACACTGCGTTGGAGCCGCGCCGTCCTGGGCTGCCAAGATTGTTGGGTGCTGTGCCGAAACACAGCGAAGCATCAGACCCCAAAGGAGAGAAGGACGTTGAGAAGGCTCAGAAGGCAGAGAGGGCTGTTGAAGTTTCGTGCCATGCCTCTGCAGGTGCGAAGTGGCATTTGGAGCTGCTGGCTGTGAGTGCCGAGCTGAAAGAAAAGCTGCAAGATTCTCAGTTCGTGGCGACCCGCTGCGACTTGGATGGCTCTGGTGATCTCGATGCACGCGAGCTGAAGCAGGCGGCTCGGGTCTATGGCATCTCGCAGAGTAGCAGCTCCGAAAACCACGACGGCACCAATCCTCGTCTCATGGCTGGGCAACGCGTCAGCAAAGAAAGCTTCGCTGAAATGGTGGCCTCTCAAGGAAGCACCAAGCTGATCAGAACCTTTGATTCAAACACGATCAAAGTTTTGCTAGGTGGAACATGTCCGCAGAATGCATTGACATGCATCTCAATTTTGGACCAATTTTGATCGGCGATTTGTTAAACGCTTCTTTTTTATTTTTTTAAATTTTGCTCAGCGGTTGTTTTCTGGATCCATTTCTGAATCAGCATGAATCTACAGCGACGCAAAGCATGAAGACATGAATGGGGGTTTGGAATGTTTGGACATGTTGGTACCCATGAAGGTCGTTTGATACATGTTGACGCACCAGAAATTACTTGGTTCGAAAGCTGGAACCAGTAACCAATCTGAATCCAAACACTTGGCAGCACATCTTCGCTGAGTCAGGAGCAGTCCCGCACTCTTTGCGTGGAATGGCATTGGGCCAGCTTCAACATCTTGAAGACTTGTTCATCACAAGTGGATGGCTCTCTGCACGATGTGAATCCTTCAACGCAGAGAATGCCCATGCCATTGCCAATCGCACGAAGTTCAGACAAGATACCAATCTTTATGCCTTGGACACCTTTGTGGTGACTCCAATGTCGAAGCCGGACATGTGTGGAGCCCGTGAACATGATGAGCAGCAGACCATTGCTGAAGCACGCGGAATTTCATCGTTTTCACAACTGGTGAATCCATTCGGCCTGTTTGTTCACTGCTTTGTCTCCCATTTTTGGGGACACAAGTTCACAAGCACCGTCACGGCTCTTGATTTGTGGGCAGATTCGAACTACGACAAGCTGACCTCGGAGAAGGAGGCCTTGGTCTTTTGGATATGCCTCTTTGCGTTGAACCAGCACGATGTGGCGGAGGAGGGGGGGGAAAATCCTCAGCAGGGGCCATTCAACGCAGCACTGGCGCAAGCCACTGGTGGTGCAGTGATGGTTTTGGATGAAGAAGTGAAACCATTTTCTCGCATGTGGTGCCTCTTCGAGGCTTCTCGGTTGAAGGACTTGCAGCGGCCCTTTGAGCTCATTTGCAGTGAAGGTTCCTTGTCCCAGCCTGAGAACGGTGGACGAAAGGCTGTGAGCGCCAAGATGCTCGAAACCACATGCCAGGCCTTGTGGAACGTGTCCACTGCCAAGGCTGAAAGCTCAATAGCCAAGGACAAGTACCAGATTTGGGGAGAAACGGCTGACGAATCCATCAGGAGTACCATAAAGGGATTGGGTGCTGAAGGCTACTTCAATGGTTTCATAGAGCAAAATGGGGCCGATGCGTTGGCAGATGTCTTCAGAGACTTTGATCGCTACATGAAGTCTCTACTCTCCACTACGGTGCTGAAGGTCCTGATGGCTAGGGGCGACTTTGCTTCGGCGGCCACGTGCTGCCTTCAAGGAGCAGATGTTAGTTCTGAGCAGCTCACAAAGATTTGCAGCAGTTTTGCAGCAGAAACTGAGAGAGAAGACTGGTTGAACATCATGCTGCGGCAGGCATCCGATGCATCCATGGCCAAACTGCTTTTGGAGAAGGGTGCCGATGCGACGGCAGCCAGGCACGATGGTGTCACAGCATTGATGTTTGCTGCTGTAGGTGGCCATGAGGCCGTGGCCCAGCTGTTGCTACAGCACGGTGCCGATGTGGCGGCAGCAGAAGACGATGGTGGCACAGCATTGATGTTGGCTGCTGCAGGTGGCCATGAGGCCGTGGCCCGGCTGTTGCTACAGCACGGTGCCGATGTGGCGGCAGCAACTAACAATGGTTTTACAGCACTGATATTGGCTGCTCTAGCTGGCCATGAGGCCGTGGCCCAGCTGTTGCTACAGCACGGTGCCGATGTGGCGGCAGCAATGAACGATGGTGGCACAGCTGTGATGTTGGCTGCTCGAGGTGGCCATGAGGCCGTGGCCCAGCTGTTGCTACAGCACGGTGCCGATGTGGCGGCAGCAAGCAACGATGGTGGCACAGCATTGATGTTGGCTGCTAAAGGTGGCCATGAGGCCGTGACCCAGGTCCTGCTACAGCACGGTGCCGATGTGGCGGCAGCAAGCAACGATGGCTCCACAGCATTGATGTTGGCTGCTGCAGGAGGCCATGAGGCCGTGTCCCAGCTGTTGCTACAGCACGGTGCCGATGTGGCGGCAGCAAGGCACAATGGTGACACAGCATTGATGTTGGCTGCTCTAGGTGGCCATGAGGCCGTTGCCAAGGTGCTGCTACAGCACGGTGCCGATGTGGCGGCAGCAAGCAACAATGGTGGCACAGCACTGGTGTCTGCTGCTCTAGGTGGTCACGAGGCCGTGGCCCGGATGTTGCTACAGCACGGTGCCGATGTGGCGGCAGCAAGCAACCGTGGAACCACAGCACTGATGTTTGCTGCTGGAGGTGGCCATGAGGCCGTGGCCCAGCTGTTGCTACAGCACGGTGCCGATGTGGCGGCAGCAAGGAACGATGGTGGCACAGCATTGATGTTGGCTGCTCACGGTGGCCATGAGGCCGTGGCCCAGCTGTTGCTACAGCACGGTGCCGATGTGGCGGCAGCAAGGAACGATGGTGCCACAGCACTGATGTTTGCTAGGGCAAATCGTCATGAGGCTGTGGCTAGGCTCCTCAGGGAGCATGGCGGTGATCAGAATTGGTTTCGGCGTTGGCTTTTTGGATAGCCGCTGCGGGCATCCAATTTATCGTAGAGCGCAGAGAAAAGGATGCTGTGCAACGAGTGTGCTGCCAACTTGCGTGATGGGAGTTGGGAAGTCCTGATGAGTTCGTTTGTTTTAGGCAGGATCCAGGATTGTGATGACTTGCGAGGTCAAAAGCTTTCCATGATCAAAGATCTTCAGTTTTTCACAAACTCAATCGATCCGTGAATGTCGACTGACATTCGTACCTTGTTTTGCCCAGGCTGAAGCGCAAAGCGTGGAAGACTAGGTCACGCAATCGCATTTGGTGGGCGTCGCTTGGGCGTTATGCTGTCATCTTTGTGTTGCTGGTTATATCTGGTTATTGTTGGTTTTAATGATTCCCGATGTTTGTTCAGACTATTTGTTGGGCGCTTCAACCAGCATTTCGAGAACTTGACTCAGGACTGTGCTTGTCAAACTTCCATGTTTTGTTTTGTTAGCTCCGCCCTAGGAGAAACAAGACATGTCCGGTCCGGAAATTTTCAATTTTTTTCAAACTTCAACTTGAGCTCCGTGAGCCCGCCCACAGTTCACCTTCCAGGTGAGTTGCGTGCCCAGCCGTGGAATAGGCAGTCGGTTTGGAACATGGGGTTGATGATCTAGAACTGGGCCGTGGAGCACCTGCATGTTATGGCCATTTGGTGTCTTCATCGGTTTTTGACCACATTTTTCAATCAACAAATTTAGAGTCCAAGTTTCAGACAAAGCCAAAATCACACATCTCATGGCCAGAGATGGACATTCACGGGAAACATCAGCTTTGACCCATGAAGTCATGAGTTGAAACATTTTGATGATCAATCCAACCGGCATCGGGTCACCTGGGGATGTGAGCAACTCTCTTGGGATCTTTGCGGGAGGAACAAGAGGAACATCGACAAACATGGATGTACCGGGACAATTCCACCACCAACAGATCACTCGGAGACAAGCAGAGGCTACCAACGCGTGCCCACACTGATGCATGAACTGATTCAAGATGTCATCACTGTTCACCATCTTGGCTCAAAATCTTAAACCACACTCCCCAAACATGTTTCCAACATCCGGCGTTGCGAGGCTGAACTGGAGCCTTGAGGAGTGGCCAAGGTCGGCGCGATGTGAGTAGGAAGAATTGATGTTTGATGGGAATTTGAAAATGGATGAAGTTCGGAGTACCGGGCACTTAGCATCTCTGGTACTAAACCATCCAATGACCTGGGGTTTTTGCATTGACTCAAGAAACACTCGTATGTCAAAATATGTCAAAAGATTTCACTTGTCGAAGTGGTCTGCGATGCCTCTTCTGTAATTGTAATCTTTGGTCCAGTGCCAAACTTAGAAGTTTTTCGTCAGCATTTTAGGATGGGAGGACCTATGCAGATGCATCTCTTTACGGCATGTCACATTGCCATACCACCGACTTGAGATCGTAGAGCTTGGCATTGGGCATTCGGGCGGCAGACCGCGGGGAGGCATTGGTGCTGCGGCAGATTTGCAGAATCGGAGGCTCGGTTGATGTGGATTGACTGCAGCTGATGGTCAGTAAGCGGACTTTACCTTCTTATCATTGGGTCGTGAACGGATTGAACGGATCTAATCCCAGTGAAACATAACTTCTAACTCCGTTTCTTGCAACTTCAGGAAGAAAGTCAGATGATGATCCCCTTGCATGGCCCGGCCCAGTGCCAACATTGTGATTGGAAGCAGATGGCATGTGACAGGTGGATGTAGAAAATCCATCAAAATCACAATGTGGTTGGAACCGTGACCCGCCAGTTTGTTTGAATAAACCATGGGTCTGCAAAAGTTGACATGCAGTGATTGTAACAATTGATGATGCCTTGACTTTGACCTACCATCGATAGAAACCAGCATTGCATGACATGCTGCAAGATTTGACCTGGAAGATATTCCTCTTGACATTGCATTTGGCATTTTAGTTAGCTATAGGATCTATAGGTCGACCTATATACTATAGTATCCTACCGTGTGGGTCACATGCTCAGTACTGTGTGATATGTTCTTAAAACCAATGCGACGTGCAAAAATTCAGCCTTGGAAGAACAGAAGAAACCTGGTTTATCGTTATAGATTGATCCTGGTCCTGCTTAAAACAAGCTGCCGTGGAATCCAGTGAATGAGCTGTTTCCAGATGATGTTTGCAACCGACATGGTGAATTTGTACTACCGTCATTGTTTCCAATCAAGTCTCCCATTCGAGCCTCATATTTAGGGGTTGAAGAATGTCAAGATATCACTGGGTCGTGAACGGATTTAATCTCAGTGAAACAGAAACGATCAGAAACGTATAACATACACGTATAAGTCAGTCTCTTGCAACTTGAGGCATCCCAGTGCGATGTTAAACTTTCAGCAAGGACCCTAGGACCTCTTTGCAGAAGCGGAGCAGAAACGATGTATGTCTTCTGACTGTTTCGTTCCAGATTTCGTGTTCTCCGCACAGCTCTGATTTGTCCGCAAACATCTTTTTCAACCATTCTCGAGCGCAAAGATGTCGAAAACAAGCTGCTGATTGAAACTCAGTGTTTTTCAATACAAACGACGAAGATCCAGTGCTGAACGCAAATCTCAATAGATCCCAGGAAGTGTTTTGAGTGGAAACAATGCACAATGGCGTTGCATGGCGTTGCATGGCGTTGCATGGCGTTGCATGGCGTTGCACATGTTGATGGAATTGATGCATGTCTTGTTCTTTGTAGCATGGACACACATGGGACACATTGCGACCAGGTGATGAAGACCGGCGCCTTCAGTGGTGCAAAAAGTTTGGCAGAGTTTCAGTGCAGAAAATTCGGGCGTGTCTCAAAATGGGGCATACCGTTTTTAAAAAATGAAGGAGAAATACGACATTATGATGATTGCGGTGGATTTTGGGCATACCCCATTTTTGGACATAGCCATTGTGTTTTGTTCGGCAGCTGTTTGCTCATCCCATTCGTTTTTTTGTTGCAAGAACTTGCAGTATCCGTGGAAAACCGCAGCCATTTCTTTTGACTCTTAGACATGATCGAAATATGGACTCGAACGGTCAAAATATCAGTGGGGACTTAGTTGTTGAAGGTCTGTCAAAGATGTTGTTTCGATGTTCCATTTTCTTCTTTTTGTGCTGTTTGTGCCCCCAATGGATCAATGGTCATGGCTTTGTCGAACCAAGGCCGAGCATGACGAAGCTGCCATCATTCAGCGGAATGTTTCCCGGAGGCCACCCATGGCATGTCAACATCCGATGAAAAACATCAGATGAGGTTTTGAATTTCATGGATGTTACCCACATCAAGTATCCATGATATCCGTGATATATTGATGAATTTTGATAAGATCTGGAGAGAAATTACAGATATCAACATATTTGGATTCCGAGATTTTTGCAGATGTCAGAGATGGAAACTTCGATCTCCAGGATATCCACTGCCAGAGAAGAAAAGCACTGGCCCCGCCCCGACCACCGAGACCTGTTGGGAACTCAGTGGTCAAAGCAGGTTTCAACCAGCACTTTCCACATGAATTTGTCTGGAAATGACGGTTAAAACATGTAAAAACCCAAATCTGATGGTTAATCATGTTTTTCCCCTAATAGATCGCTATTTAGAAGGTATCCCCTATTTCCAGACAGCTGAATGGTTGATGATCTATGAACTGTTTCGGAATGTTTCACATGTTTCATGATGTTTTTTTGGCGAAACCGTGAAACCACTAAGTCTGAGAAGACTGCCCCTGGATCTCAAAGCCTCACCAAAGCTTACCGACCGGTCATGGCCTCAGAGTGAAAAACAAGATGAAGCCCACGAACCCGAATGCTCACACGTATGTTAATGGTACAGATGTCAAAACACATGGTTATGCAGTGACGCACAATACCTTTCTGCAATAGTTTCTTTGAACAGTCTTGTGCATGTTTCCCTTGTTACCAGTCTGCAGTGTGGAGTGGAAAGTGTAGAGTGTGGAGTGTGAAGTAAGGAGTGTGAAGTAAGGAGTGTGGAGTGTGGAGTGTAGAGTGTGGAGTGAGGAGTGTAAAGTGCAAAGTGTGGAGTGTGGAGTGTAAAGTGAGGAGTGGAAAGTGTAGAGTGTGGTGTGTAGTGTGGAGTGTAAAGTGTGGAGTGTAGAGTGTGGAGTGTGGAGTGTAAAGTGCAGAGTGTGGAGTGTAAAGTGTGGAGTGTAAAGTGTGGAGTGAGGAGTGTAAAGTGGAAATCGTGGAGTGTAAAGTGTAAAGTGTGGAGTGTAGAGTGTACAGTGTAGAGTGCAAAGTATAGAGTGTGGAGTGTAAAGTGTGGAGTGGGGAGTGTAGAGTGTAAAGTGTGGAGTGGAAAGTGTGGAGTGAGGAGTGTAAAGTGTGGAGTGTGGAGTGTAAAGTGTGGAGTGTGGAGTGTTGAGTGGAAAGTGTGGAGTGTGATGTGTGGAGTGTAAAGTGTGGAGTGAGGAGTGTAAAGTGGAAATCGTGGAGTGTAAAGTGTAAAGTGTGGAGTGTAGAGTGTATAGTGTAGAGTGCAAAGTATAGAGTGTGGAGTGTAAAGTGTGGAGTGGGGAGTGTAGAGTGTAAAGTGTGGAGTGGAAAGTGTGGAGTGAGGAGTGTAAAGTGTGGAGTGTGGAGTGTAAAGTGTGGAGTGTGGAGTGTTGAGTGGAAAGTGTGGAGTGTGATGTGTGGAGTGTAAAGTGTGGAGTGAGGAGTGTAAAGTGTAGGTGGAGTGTAAAGTGTAGAGTGTGGAGTATGGAGTGTGTGTAGAGTGTGGAGTGTAAGTGTGGAGTGTGGAGTGTAGAGTGTGGAGTGTAAAGTGTGGAGTGTAAAGTGTGGAGTCTGGAGTGGAAAGTTTAGAGTGTGGTGTGTAGAGTGTGGAGTGTAAAGTGTGGAGTGTAAAGTGTGGAGTCAGGAGTGTAAAGTGTGGAGTGTGGAGTGTAAAGTGTGGAGTGAGGAGTGTAAAGTGAGTGTGGAGTGTAAAGTGTGGAGTGTGGAGTGGAAAGTGTGGAGTGTGAAGTGTGGAGTGTAAAGTGTGGAGTGTGGAGTGGGGAGTGTAAAGTGT